CAACTCTAACTATTCTATGATTCTATGATATAAACCCTGCCCATTTCAGAGCTATGCTCTGGGCAGAGTACAAAATTAATGATGTTGGTTGGAAATAACATCTTGTATTAAGATTGCTATTAACCTTTGGCTTTTTCCTTCTTTTTACAACTGAAGATTGTATTCATATTAGTTTTGTTTACCGGATGGCTTCCTTGTCCCTTTGTTGTTGATATGAAACTGAAATTTTCTGAGAACAGGTGGTATGATGTAGGCAAACGTAAACTAAACTCCAGCACGTTGTTTTCATGCAGCCTCCAACCTGGCTATTAGCCTTAACCTAATCTGCATCTAAGTACTTTTTCCCAGGCCTGTCTCTAATCGTAGTTCCTTTTTGTTATTCATCTTTTATGATGTTAATAAGTTATACTTGCAGGGAAAAATAAACATTGTCAGCATGAAATTTTCTGCTGTGAATCAGTAAATTCCTGAAACTTTAAATGCTTTGGAAATCAGCAACAAAGAGCTATCCTTCAAGTGCTTATCTGTAATAGTGTATGCCTAGTAAATTTATAAAATGAACTTAGGAAAGTGTTCCTAACATAAACAAATCTTGCTTTGCAGAAGGCCATGGATTTTTGTACGAAACTTTTGGGATCAGGCCTCAGTTTTCTTGGCACATTGATCCTTTTGGAGCTTCAGCTACAACACCAACTCTTTTTGCTCTCGCTGGTTTTAATGCTCATCTTATTTCTCGGATTGACTATGATCTGAAGGCTGACATGCAGAAAAACAAGGTAAGAATACCCATAGGAATGCAACACATTGCCAGCCTCTATTTACATGAAATTAAGATAAGCATCTCTCTGCTCTGTGCAAGGAAAAGTGGGTATTTCTTCTCTGAAAGTGACATGCTGATTGCATATGTTAATGGTGAAATACACTGAATCTGTATAATATGGTCAGGTACAGTCTTCATGATCTCTGGTTACAGATAAAATACAGTCTAGGCTGAAGAAGACGTAAAATGTGGCCAGCTGGGCAAGGCTGTTACTTTACAGTGGTTGTCATGCTTGGAGCATTTATTTGTGCCTGTAAAATTGATAATACTAGGTCAGTTGGAGTGGCAGCTAATCATGTTTTTGCCGAATTCAGTTTTTGTTTCTTGTTCTGCCTTCTCTCACACTGCCTCCCATACACAGGAAATGTTTTTCTTTTCCTACCACAATGTTGGACCCTTATCTATCATCAGTTACACACTAAATTATGTGAAAATAAGGGGCTTTTCGCTAGTATGAGCTGGACGTTAGGCAATTTTTATGAATCTTGGGTGAAACTCAGGTGTCTCTGAAGAAGACAAGAGAACTGTAGAATATGGTGAAGCCAGGACCTACCACCGTATGTTTGAAGTGAATTGAGATACTTCCTTTCTGATGACATCTTTTGTGAGCTTTCTACAATCTTTTCCCATTGTTTGGGCTTTATGTTTTGGGTTTTTTTGTTGTTTTGTTTTTTTTTTTTTCTTCTGGCACCTGACAGTCTGGAGGCTTCCAAAAGTGCACAAATTCTGTTTCAGTTGATTAAACATTGATTCCCATTGACTACAGTGCAGTTCAGATCACATTCGGATCTTTTCTTAGGTTTTAGGCTTTCAAGTCCCACTGAAACAAGTGGGTTGTACTGCCTGTGGTAAACTAAGCTTACATCTGGATTTTAGCAGTATGCTGGCAGTGTGCTGCCTCCTCCATCAATATGAATAGAAAGAGGCAACACTATAGCCTCCCGTATCTAGTATGTGACATTGCTTAGGGTACTATTGGCTGGTCTCAAGTAAGAACATCTAGAGTATTACAAGCGGTGGAAGTGAAGATGGGCAATCTGAAATCTTAAGTTGTTAATGATGGTAGTCTGTCCTTGTCATCAAGGCTAATGGTTTCTTAACTTTTTTGTTTTCCAGAAACTTCAGTTTGTATGGCAGGGCTCTCCTTCCTTATCTGAAAGACAGGAGATCTTCACTCATGTTATGGATCAGTACAGCTACTGTACCCCATCTCAACTACCTTTTTCAAACAGGTCTGAAGATTTCCTAAATAGGCAGAAATACTGATCACTTCTGGGAGTTTATATTGGTGGACTTTAAGTATTTTCTTTGACTGTTTCAACTGTATTCCACTGCTTTCTCCTGACCTGCGGTAGGCCAAGGATATTCCTAGACTCTGTAGGTCTGAGTCAGGATTACCAAGTATGCCTAGCTACCCACCATAATACATGAAGTTTGCTCAGTTCCTAACAATGGAATGCTCAAAAGTGACGCTTACTACTGACAGGCACTAAAAATACTTAAAAATATTGACAGACTTTAAAAATAATGTTTTCTAGCACCTAGAGTCTTGGAACACAGGTACAACTTTCAAATACATACTTATATATGTCAGTCCTTATAAAACAAATCAGAATAAAAATGTGAAACAAATCAATAGCTGTAAACAGGAAATGTCCAAAACAGGACTAGGCTTTTGTTTCCCTGTCTGGAAAGTCAAGATTTAAAACTCCAGGAAGCTCAGTATTGACTTGGCTATTACCAATTGATTTTCTGTGGGAGATTTTCATCATTATATTGAGCTAAGATTGTGTATATCAATTGTGTACGAACTAAAGCGACTAAAATTTTCCATTTACTTTGCGAAAAAAATTCAGAACTTTTGAAATCTTTATTTTGCTTACTGGCTTACCCAGTAAAATACTCTGTAAATGAAGTCTACTTGGGGGAACATCCTCATTGTTACAAAGCTTGCTGTTTTGTCCTACAAGTTCTTTGTTCTGTGCCAGCAAGCAGCAGGGACTTGGAAAGTTACACAGTGCAAAAAGAAAACTAGCCAACCTTTCCCCTACCCCTGCACCCAAATAAACACTAAAACCTAAATATTAGCAATGACTATAAACTGATTTTCTTTTGCTTCTTATTCCCTCTGTGTCTATACCAGCACCTTTTCATGTGTTTTTCCCAGTCGAGTAAGTCCTGTTCATAGTCTGTTGCTTTCTCCTTCTACTTAGGTCAGGATTTTATTGGAATGGAATTGCAACTTTCCCAGATCCACCAAAAGATGGTGTTTATCCAAACATGAGTCTCCCTGTTACAGATGCTAACATCCATCTGTATGCACAAACCATGGTGGCAAACATGAAGGAGAGAGCAGCCTGGTTCCGAACGAGCGATGTTTTGTGGCCATGGGTAAGTGCGTGATCAGCATTTGCTTTGGAAGTAGCAAGTGCACCTACAGTATGGAGAGCAGGAACATGGTGCTTTGCTGCAGTATGTACTGCAGAAATGCAGGTACAAACCACGGGATGAGAAAGAGTTTTTCTAGTAAGTAGGGTCCAGATGTCTGACTAGTTAATGATTTTTAAAAACAACTTCCTTCTACAGTCTACCAGTTGTCTACCAAATCTTCCACCCTTCTTAATATAGAAAGAAATATGACAAAATTGTGAAGATTACCTCTTGAAAAACTATATTTTGCAATATTGCTCCCTTTTTGACTCTCTTTGTTTTGTGTATTTAAATGACCTCTTTACATAGCTGCCTAGCATAACATAACTCTTATGTTAACAAAAATGATAGCATTGCAAGAAAATGTATTATCCATTAGGTAGACAAGGTCTTTTCTCACTGATGAGCAGTCTTTTGCTTGTACGGTCTTTGTATTTTAGTTAGAAACTCAAGCATAGCCCAGCTTGGTCCTTCAAGCAATATGCTGTGTTAATTAGATCCTATATGTACCTATAGCACTGATAGACTTTCACTATTTTTAAGTCCTTAGGAAAGAATTACTTTTCCTAAATTGAATGTACAGTCTGGTTTTTAATTTTCATGGATGCTTTAGGTCTCATAGTTACAATATTGAAGGATGGCATTTGTGGCTATTTCACCACAATATCTGTTGTTGCAAAGAGAACAAATGTTTTCTGACTGAGGCAGCTTTGAGTCACTGATTTGTTTTTCCCTTGTGTTTGTGACAGTTCTTACGTTGATTTTTGGTTTTGTTCTAAGAGGGTGAGGGGAGAAGTAGGATATAATACTCTGCAGTAGTGCTATAGTGAAAGTTATGCTGGAATGGGGAGGGAGTTTTGAATAGTACAAATAAATTCCAAACGTCTAGATCCAAACCTGCAGCTTTGCAGTAATGTAAGAAAATTTCAGTCTCTGACTTACTGATTTGTGTGGTTGTGATAACGAGCTTTAAACAAAGTAATACAAGTTTGTTACTTATTCATAATGCTATAAGGAAGAAGTTCTTTACTGTAACGGTGGTGAGGCACTGAAACAGGTTGCCCAAAGAAGTGGTAAATGCTCCATCCCTGGCAGTGTTCAAGGCCAGGTTGGACAGAGCCTTGGGCGACATGGTCGAGTATGAGGTGTCCTTGCCCATGGCACTGGGGTTGGAACTTAGATGATCTTAAGGTCCTTTCCAACCCAAACCATTCTATGTTTCTATTATTCTGTGTAAAGAAGTAGAGAGAAATAGACACACTATTATTCCATGTCTCTGTAACTAAGCTTAGCTATTTTTTTCATGATTACAAATACTTTGGAGTACTTGGATTTATTGGTTTGGGTTTTTTTTTTCCCCTTCAATTAAAATCGAGAAATACCTTCCCATTTAAGCTCAGACCTCACATCTAGGCTACTAGCACTTTCTTGATGAGTTGTATGTACAAATAAGTATTCATCCATGATTTGAAGCGCCTCATTGTGCAGGAGGAGGTATTGGGCTGTGGGACTGTAAAAGTTCAGACCTGCCTTTCTAGAGGCTGCAGCAGCAGATGTATTGTCTTAAGGGCTGCAGCTCGTCCCTGAGATGTTTTTTGGCCTGTGTGGTTGAACTAACTGCAATTCGTAGCATTCCTGTACAAAATCCATATAGTGAGTGGATGTGATGATTGACTACAGCAGGTTCTCCTGGATACCCTTCCTCTACAGAGCTACACTACTCCTCAGCTACTGTTTTGTGTCAGTGCGAGCAGAGTCTACCAGCCCAGCATGTCCCATTCTGTAGTGCAAAGTGTCCACTTTTTATGAGGAAGTCTTCTTGGATCATGAGTTGAAAGTAGTGCTCTGTAAATGTGAAGTAGTTTTGACTGGTAAACATACTACTTCCTCCCCACAAATTTAATTGGAGTCAGCATTAGGAAGTATGGTTTGCACTGACTGCCACACTTTTCAGTATTTGGTCTGATACGTTTTAGTAGCTCATTCCAGTTTGAAGTTGTTCTCCAGTTTGTGCTGTAGGCATACAGATGATCTTGAGTATCTCAAAATTTCTGGTTTGGAAGTGGAACTTCCACTTTTCTGATCAGTGACTTATCCTGTTAGGTCTGATGGACAGGCATGTGCACTAGGATTCATAAAGGACATGTCAGTGACCTTACTTGAAACATCTAGTAAATGGGCAAGCGGTGGGGGTAGCCCTCTCATCTGGGAAAGAGAAGGGAGAGTGTTCTAGTTTAGTTGAACTCATCAGGTTCAGCTCACTCAGCTCATCATCAAGGTAAAGGTTGAAGTGGAAGATGGGATTGCAAAGCAAATAGAATCTCCTTGAGTGTTTCTTAAAAACATCTGCTGGAGTTTTGAATACAAATTGTTGAGACCGTCTTTGTTTGAAAATGAGATCAAGGTTTTATATATGGCCTCCACAGCAAGTGTTGACTTCTTGTACAATGTTTTCTTTCTCAAGCACAGAGACATGAAGGTGAGGACACTTTAAGCTGGTGTCAGTGTTGGCCTTTTTATGTGCAAAAGGTTTCCTAGCATGTTACTGTGGTTCAGATCAATGCCATTACTGTAATACTGATAACTGAAGAATACATGTGGTGCCGTGGCTGAGTAGCTCTTTCATTTTCCTGTTTGGCTACTGTAGTTGAACAAAGCTGTGGTTAGCTATGCCTATTTAAACATTTGTATGTGCAAATAATCTGTGTTGAGGCAGAAGCAAAAGTTGTGCAAGCATACTTAAAGAGAAAGGGGCTTTAATACATAGTGTATCACCTCTCAACTATTTGGATAAGCATCATAAGTACTATAGCCTGTTGTGATGGGGGATCAGCAACACATTGTGTGACATATATACTACAAGCATCTCTGTCCAGATTGTTTTGTTTCACATCATGTCCTCAGCACGTCCTAAAGCTGTAAGCATTCTTAAGAGCAGAAAATAAGAACTTCCTCATTTTTTGCTAAGTGGGAGAAATGCAGTCTGAGAAGAAACAAAGGTTATCTTTCCAGGCATGCATGCACGCATTTTTCCAATTCCTACCATGAAATTTCATGCTCTTGCATCATATGGTATGTCAGCACACTTCTCCCTCTCTGTAATGATGGTTGGTTATCAGCTGATCTGTGCAAGTAACCTTACGTGTCTTGACATTTTTGTGACAAATAACTTTTATATGGTCAGTCAAGATCAAAAGAAATACTGTTTTAACATAGGTTGGTGTCAAAAAAGATCCTTCTAAATTACATGACCCAAAGTCATTTGGCTGTTCTGTTTTTGGAATTTCAGGGCTGTGACAAACAGTTCTTTAATGCATCTGTTCAGTACTCCAACATGGACCTGTTGTTGGATTATATTAACAAGCATTCTGGTGAGTTTGGAGTGACTGTCCAGTATGCCACCGTTGGTGATTACTTCCAAGCAGTGTATAGCAGGAATCTTACATGGGAAATTCGGGACTCTCAAGACTTTCTTCCATATTCAACAGGTAATTAAGTTCACAACTGCATAAGGTCTACCTCAAATGTGCAAATCTAAGATCTTAATAAAGGGAAATAGAGAACACGAGAAATGCAGTGAAAGAATACCCTCTTTTATAACATTTATTTACACTACAAGGTGTCATCAAATAGAAAAGTTGATTCCAACTTAATGGTCTAAGAAAGATGGTAGGGCAGTAGCTGGAGTATTTCTTTGGGACCATTGGAAGCAATGGGTGAAGATACCCTGAAAGAAAGCATATTGAAATAGGCAAACTTGGCAGGAAATCTAACTTGAGGTTTTCGTTTTGCTGTCTGTGACCAACAGTAGAATGCAAAGGAAAGCTAACCACAAGATATATGCATGAGCCTGTGATGTCATCCAGATTTTTTTAATGACCTGAAAAAAATTAATAGATAGTGCACTAATCAGGTTCTGTTACAGCGAAAACTGAGCAATGAGATAAACCTGTAGGCCTAGGTCAGCAGGCTGAAATTCAGTACGATATTTCAGTGGATGAATGAAGGAAAAAAAGCCTGCCAAGTGTGCAACACATGGCAAAGTGTTTAGCAAACAGCAGTGATAGCAAAGGTGCTTCACAGAGGTGTACCAGCACAACAGAAGTAGTCAGACAGGACCCCTCCAATGTCATGACAGAACTCTCTAAAGCAGAGATCCTAGGACCCACTCCACTTCAAATATATATTTTGACTGTTTATGTTTGGACATTTAATGTGAAATTCATTCTTTTCCCTGTCTTCCACATGTTTTAGCATGCACAAATACCCTGTAGTCTCTTAGATAATCTGCAGTATTAGATGTGCATGTTATGCCTTTTCTTTTCCCAAAAATGAGTTGTAGTAAGAGCAGAGTGCTCTAGAATCCAGGGAATGGAAAGGAAACTGGTTAACGGAAAGATACCTAGAAACAGATGGATGCAGGGCCAAATAAAACCATGTCCTAATATTACTGTTCAAATGAACTGGATTATGCATAGATTAGAGCAGACATGGAGTCCTGATTTTTGCTGGGATAGAGCTTATTTTGTTCTTAGTAGTTGGTGCAGTGCTGTGTTTTGGCTTTGGTATGAGAATAGTGTTGATAACACATGGATCTTCTAGTTACTGCTAAGTGGCTCTTACCCTGATTAAGGACTTTTCTGTCTCTCATGCTCTGCCAGTGAGGAGGGGCACAAGGAGCAGAGACAGGACACCTGACCCAAACTGGCCAAAGGGGTATTCCATACCACAGCACTTCATGCCCAGTATAGAAACTGGGGGGAGTTACCCAGAAGGGACTGGTCGCTGCTCGGTCAGGCTGGGTATTTGGTCAGCAGGTGGTGAGCAATTGTATTGTGCATCACTAGGATTTCTTGGGGTTTATTTCTCTCTCTTTATTTCTTTTTATTGTTGCTAATACTATAAACCACATGATTAAGCCACGACAGAAGGAAAACGTGACATGGCGTAATCTATGAATGCGTCTAAAGGAGAAACAAGGCAGGTAACCAAGGGACCAAAGCAATCTGAAAGCTCTTAGGGAACTTCTTTGTTAGTAGAGTGGAATAGGAGTGGTCAAAGTGAAGCAGTTGCTGCAGAGTATTTGATGTCCACACTCTATGTAATTCCAGGAAAATTGGATATAATCTGGACTAAATGCCCATTAATACTGGTTATATACCATCAGGAATCCAATCTGTGAGCTCCAAAAATAGTCTTTTCTGTAAAGCAAAGCAGAGTAGGTAGGGATTGCTTGTAAATTCACTTCGCCTGATCCAAGCAAAACACTAATGTAGATGAATCCCTAAAGTCTCCTGTAGGAGAAAGTCTTGTCTTTTTCGTAAAAAAAAAAAACCAACAGTTTTAAGTTCGGGGGGGGAGAGGAAAAAAAAAAAGTTATTTATAACTGAAGTCTCAAAAAGTAAAAATACTACCTATATTTCTGAAGTATCATAGTATGTGCTACACGTTCATTGCAGTTGCTTGTCGCTTGCTTGCTTATGTGCTGTACTACCTTAGCTCTTCAAGCAGAGCTGAGAAGTACTGGGAAGATAGGAAAAAAGACATACCATACCCAACATCCTTTCAGTCATTTTCCCAAGTATATTTACCCTTTTAGGCCTCATATTTAAGCATGCAGAGAGAAGACACAGCTAAGTTCTCAGTTTCTAAACTCATTAATTTGCTTCATTGCCTGTATTTTCATTAAAATATCATTGGTATCATTAATGTAGCTGTCTATATAATTGTAGCTGCTTCATCACATTTTTTGGCACTTGGGTTGTGTATCTCAGACTATTCTGTAACATGTCTGTTAACTTTCCAGTGAATAAAAATAACCATTGCTTCCTGTGAATCATTGCATAGGCTGATCTCTGGCTCACTTACTTCCCTTTAGGGATCATGTCATATCTAACAATTTGCAGATAAATATATTGCCAGTTCTAACTGCTAATATCTTCTTACATCTGGGCTCTTACCTGTATCTTTCTGGCATAATTTACAGGCAGTAGTCAATTGCTATTAGCTTGCATAATGGCAGCACCTTCAGTGTTCCAGGTGGGTGCCCACACATGGATGCAGTTTCTTCCCCGAACGGCTTACTGTGCCTAGCAATTGCAGTATAGATTTGAGTGCGCTTCCTCCCACATACTGTTTTGCCTCTTGATGATTAATCTTCTCTCATTCTTTCTATGCCATCTTATTATGAGTCACTTATTGGGCTTAGTGTCATTTCTGGCATATGCCTTGGAAACTCAAGGCTTAAGTCCCAGATAAGTATTTCCATTTTCTGCTCTACATTCGTTGTTCTGTACTAGTGTGCATGTGGGACTCTTCTGCTTGTAACCTTGAAAAACTGAAATGAAGTTCGTTCTGTTCAAACTTCTAGCATTTTCAGGCCAAAAAGAATTTTTCCTGGAGTTTTTGAGCAAAAGATCCCGTTTTCCAGTCGTTGCCTTTGATCCTTGATAGCAGATTGTTATGGTTGCATGTATGCACTTCAGAAAGCACTTTCTGCAACTTCCCCCAAAACCAGCCAACCAAACCCTGCCCACACTAAGAAGTAGAGATTTGGAGGTTTTAAAATCAAATACTTGTTTTCCTAGTTTACTCTGTGGGGTCCTGGAACATACTAGCACAAATTAACTGTTGAAATACTTTCCACTCACCACTTGAGGGCATCTTTTGATGTAGTTTGAGGTGCTGCAGTGGTTTGGAGTGGCGTTATAACATCACTGTTTCTACTCCGTTTTGAGGAAATGAAATTTAAGATAAATGCGTTTGACTAAAAGAGGGAAATGTAAAGAGCTTGTATCAAGCAGTAACCAAGGATTATAATCCACTCATTCATGAGTAATAAGATATGCTTCAGTGAAACTTCTGAAGTTGTTTTGTGCAGATCCACAAAGAAATGTCTGCAAACACAAGTTAACTTAATTGGTGACGGCTTTGAATCAACACTCATGTTACTAGGCCTATAGTACAGATTGTAGTTCTCCAAAGTGCACTTTTATGCCTGTGTTTCTTTATAGTGTTTATGACTATTCCATTTGATGTGTAAACCTACAGCAGGTTTCGTGTAAGAAGCTGTACCATGCTAGTCTAATAAATAAGTGATAACTGAAATGGTATTATGATGTGTTGGATCTGTTCAACTCTAACAGAGCCATTTCAAGCATGGACTGGGTTTTATACTTCTCGGAGCACATTAAAAGGAATTGCAAGGAGAGCAAGTTCACTGCTTTTTGCTGGAGAGTCCTTTTTCACACAGTATGTCCAACAGCACCCAGCAGGTTCTATTTGCAAATGTGAAGCCTTAAAGCAACTTCAGAGCCTTAGATGGGCAGTTTCAGAGGTAAAGATTGATTTATTTTTTTATTTGAATGAGAATGCTAATTGCCCATAAGCAAAGCTTTCCTTAAGAATTTCAGCTGGAATGTCTTGAGGTTGCTTTTATGTTTTTAGAAAAAACTTTCCCCTTTAGCAAGTCATAAGTAAAAATAAAGCAATTTTTCAAAAAACAGTCTTGGAACATGACTTCAGCCCCTTAGCCATGCATTCAAGACATAGTTACTGGCAAATGTTTTCTTCAGCCAGTGGAAGAGTATGTGGTTTCAAACTTTACATAAAAATTCTTTTTCTTAATTTTATTATTTACAAAATGTTTTTTAAAAAATAATAATAAAACCCCCACAACTAACTGAAAACTATTGATAATCTCTACTCCTGCAAGTTAGAAGGTGAAGGACAGATTTGCTTCTACAAAGTTCAGCAGCTGAGTGATCAGCCTCATACCATCAGCCATTTACAGGCCTCAGTGCTTTTGCTGATAGTAAATATTTTTTCAGCTAAGTTATTAACCAGATCTTAAGAAGGAAATGAAAATACCTGGTTTGTATTTTTGCTGCATTCTTATTTTTAGTAAGTTGTATTTTTTTTTCCTCCAAGTATGTAACTTTAGTAGTTTCTAAATATTAAAATAGGAGTATCTAGAGAGGGAAGTCTGTGTGCATCTGGTCTTTGACCATTTTGTTCTGTTTATAGAAATTTGGAATAGGTAAAATGTTTAATCTGTGATTATAGCTGTAATATCTTATTATTTCAAGTTCACTGACTGAAGGTTAGTGGACCATGTTAATACAAATGAAAACCTGAAGTTGTCATCCTGTTGCATTGTAACCTTTCAAACTGTCCTTAAATGTAAGGTCCAGCACCATGATGGTATAACAGGCACAGAGTCTCCCAAGGTGAAGGACATGTACGTGGACCACTTGATGTATGGAATGTTCAATGTCAAGAAGCTAATGGCTTCCATGATCTTTGACATGAACAATGCAAAGAAGAACAGTGAGGTCTATTCTTCTGTCTACGTTCAAGACTCAGGAATACCAGGTACTTTTTACACAGCTTCTCCAATTTTAAGGCTAGTTTATGAAAGCTATCGTGTTTTCCTCCAAAATAATCGACATACTATGTACCACTTAAGTTCTGTGAACCACAGCTGGAAAATCCTGTTTGCTTTATGAGATCTGCTAGACCTGAGGCAAACTCGGATGAATTTGTGAGGTCTCAAGCATCTGAAAACAGGACTTTTAAACTGATTTTGGGCAGAACCTTACCCCAGTGCATGTATTAGACCTGGCTCCCAGATTCAGATCTCGACTGTTAAACAGAGGGAAGACATGCTGAACAAAGTAATTACTAAACTAACCTTACTGTGCAGTGGAAGATTACGTGGTAAGAAGAACAGTCACAGTTAAGAAATGTTCTTGCCGTAATGTACTGCCAGCTTGTGTAAAACATGTAAAACAATTTTTAAGGAGTCTGTGGTAAAGACTGTACATTCTCTTTTACTCTAGAAACTTTTTAGCTGTCAAATGTAAGCAGTGCCGTGGGCTGAACAACAGACTGATGTGACTTTTTACAGGTTGTTTTAAGATTAGGCTTCCCATTTGATCTTCTGTATATCTCTGATAAAGTTAATACTGCATGACAATGAGTTGTGGTAAGCTGCTTATTTTCACTAGATGCATTTACATTCAACTCAGGTGTCATTTTTCTGAATACATGGTCTCTTTTTGTTGGGTAAAGAATAGAAGAATAAAGCAGAGAGGTTTTTATGAAGTACTATAAAATGTTTTCCTTTTTTCAATCATGAAGTTTTACTGCAGGGTTTTATGTTAGAATTTTGTAAGATGGTTGTACCTAGACAGATCTCTCAAATACTTTTTAATAACACATTTTGAAAATACAAAGTTTTAATGACTGATAGTTTTGTCTGTTTGCATGCACAAAGGTGCCACAGGCGTTGACCAGTACATTGTCATCTATAATCCGCTGGCATGGAACATCACTACCTTTGTCACAGTTTCTGTTGGCCACTTGACAGTGAGTGTCTATGACGAACTGGGACATCCTGTACCAGCTCAGGTACTTCAACTTTATTTCTTTCTGTTGCTTTTCTTTCACTTGTCAGTATTCACTGACTTCATCCTACCTCCTGTCAAAGTGTGGTAACGTATAGTATTACAGCAAAAACAAGGATTAGTTCAAACTGGGATTTTCCTACTTCTCCTTCAAGTGATTATTTTTTTTCTCCTAGTGGTTTGTCCTTTGTATGCCTGCTGTGTATGCCTGACACCTGCCTTTCTTTCTATAAAAAACCCTGTTTCTAGTAAAACCTATTCAGTTGAAGCCCTGCTGTATAATTGACAGTCCTGTTTGTACAGTTGACAAATGGCCTTGGGTAGGAGAATTGATTTAAGAAATTTAGGAATTGAGGCTTGGCAAGTGCTCTGCCGTCTTTCGCACCGCATGTATGAGTTGTATAATGAAGGGAGAGAATGGGAGTAGATTCTGTTGATTGCAGTAAGGCTAGCAGGTCTGCAGTGTGAGTAACTATATGTGTGCCAGTCCACAGCATGAAGGTACAGACAGTTGCCCTGGATTTGGCTGGGATAGAGTTAAGTTTCTTCCTAGTACCCGGTACAGCGCTGTGGTTTGGCTTTAGTATGAAAAAGTGTTGATAACACACAGATGGCTTAGCTGTCGCTAAGTAGTGCTTACAGGAAGTCAACTTTGTTTCCCATGCTCTGCCAGTGAGGAGGGGCACAAGAAGCTGGGAAGAAGCACAGCCAGGACAGCTGACCTGAACTAGCCAAAGGGATATTCGCTACCACATCATGTCATGCTCAGTATAGGAACTGGGGGGGTTGGCTGGAGGCTGTTTGTTGTTGCTCAGGGACAGGCTGGGTATTGGCCAGTGAGTGGTGAGCAATTGTGTTGTGCATTACTTGCTTTTCTTTAGTTGTATTCCTTTCTTTCTCATTATTAATAATAATATTATTGTTATTCTCATCATCATATTTTACTTAATTATTAAACTGTTCTTATCTCAATCCAGGAGTTTTACTTTTTCCCAATTCTCCTCCCCATCCCACTGCACTGTGTGGTACTTTGTTGCTAGCTGGGGTTAAACCATAGCAGTCCTTTTTGGCACCCACTGTGGGCCACAAAGTGCTGAGATAGTGACAGATCTGACCAGAGGGTGTTAAAACAAATTTATTATAAGTATTCATTGTATTGGTTTAATACTCACTGGTCACAATGTTGATTTATTTGTTCACAGAGTTGTTGCGCTTGTTTTCAGGGTTGTTATGTTAAATCTTACCTGCAGTATGTATTCCCTATGGTGATGTTTATCATCCCTGGGGCCTGGGCTAAGATTATCGTTTTGATGTGCTTTGTAGTATTGATTTATGATACAATAGAATTGCTGATCATGACACTAATCTGGTATGTGTACTCGGCATTGCCATCACCTCTGTACATTGGGAGCCATCTATTGGGAACTATTAATATTTACATCTTTCACCATTTCCCCTTGGAGAGCCAAACTATGGAGCAGACATCTTCCTACAGCTTCCTTCCTTTCTTCTCTCCTTCCCTTCTTACTTCCTTCTGACATCTTCCGTCTCCAGGCTGATTACAGTAGCGTTTGAGAATTTTTAAGATTTTGAATATCCTTCAAACCAATTCAGCATATTGCTAAATGTGGTTCAGGTCTTGTTTAAGGTTAAACAATTATCTAGGAATACTGCTCAGAGATCTGCCCCAAGGATAGACAGTTACAAGTGGTAAGGTGTGGGGGATTGTATGGGAAAGTACCTAAGCCAGTGGGCATCTCCAGTGCTTTGGATCTTCCCCTCTGAACAAGTGCAGAATCTGGAAAAACTAGTGAAATAATTGGAAAAAGTATACTGTCACCCTGACAATTCCAGAGACACAAATCATCGCAACATGCTGGGGCCTGGCCCATGCCTACCGAGCCCTGCTTAACACCCTTCAGTAGCCTCATGGGGAAAAGAACCTTTCTGTATCTGACAACAAAGCAAAAGAATTGTTGCCTATGCTGGGCTGGATGTTCAAAGGGAAGCTCCTCTTTACACATCCTGCAACTGATGCTATGTGGAGTAAGCATGTTGCACTGATCGCACAACAAGGTCAAACAGGAAATCCCAGTCATCCAGGAATCTTGGAAGTCGTCATGGGCTGGCCAGAAAACAAAGATCTTGGAATATCACCAGAGGAGGTGGTGATGCATGTTGAAGAGGCCCCACAGTATAATAAGTTACTAGAAAGTGAAAAGCAATATGCCTT